CAGAGGAAACAAGAACAAAAAATTAAGAACAAAAGGTATAAGGTGATAACAGCAAAACGTTGATATGCCAACTCTATCTTTTTTGGAACATAAAGGTTTTCTATCTATAAGTAACTTTTTTTGGGTATGCCAAAAATAAATAATTAAGTTTCAGTTTTAAGATGGTTTTCTTGTTGAAAAATTCTTCCAAAAAATATAAACCTTTACACAAACGATCTTCATCAACATCGTCATCATCATCGTCAGCATTACCAGAAGAAGAAAAAGAGGAAAGAATGGATGATGACGATGATGAAGACGAAGGTAAAAGTCATCAAGTAACAGGTATTTTGATTATTATGCAGAAAAAAACACAAAACAGACAGACAGACAGGCGGACCATCAGACAAGCAGACAGATAAATAGATAAAACAGTAGAAAATTTCTGAATGATATACCTTTCAAATTATTTCACCATTTCTCTATCTTATCTAAAAATTATTCGAAAGAAAAAAAAGTTTGTTGAAAACATCTAACAATCGAAAGCAACTATTTCATGACATTCGTTTACACTTAAACTTATGCCAAACTTGCCACATATTCTGTAAGTGACAACAGACTTGAGCAGACAAAATAAGGAGAAAAAAAGAGCTTTAAACTAAAGACTGCAAACGAAGATAAAGTTTGACCAAACAACAGATAGTGGTCAATAATGAGGAAACTGATAACTGTGTTAAAATGAGGAAACAATGATAAAAAAGATGGGAAAAAAAGTTTAAAAAAACAAACTGAGAGCTGCTCCGGTAAGTTCCTTTTTCTTTTTTCTCTCATACCAGCGAACCATCGTCTTCTGGAAGCTTTTTCTACATTTCGTTTCCTATCGATACCAGTAATCAAGCACCAACTGAACGGGATACCCGGTTGAAGAAGCACTATACGTATACGTACGTATATCTTCTGTTGTCTGTCCTGTTCTTCTTTCTTTTTCCTTTACTGCGAATACAGATGCGCCACCGAGGAACACCAAGGCGAACGGCAGCAACAACAGCAAACTTTAGTGCACGAGGAGAAATTTGGTTCCTATACCGGGGGCCAATTGGATGGGGTTCAAGGGAAATTAGAAGGGGTGGAAGGGGTGAACCGGGTTATGGGGGATACAACAGCAGCAGCAGTGAGCCGAGTAGACTCTCAGCAAAAATTTTTCAGAAGATGTCTAAGTTAGTGAAAAAACAAAGTTTAGAAAACCGATTGAACCTCCCATTCTATCAAAAAAAAAAAGAAAAAAAAGGCTACTTCAAAGCAACCAAATCAGCTTTAATGAAAAAAATTTTTTTTCGCAAACGAAAAAAAAAAAACAAAATTGCGGAAAACATCTAACGGGTATATAAAACTTTAAAAACTTTAACAATACGAATGCAATTATTTGATGATTTATCAACCAACTGCAAAAAATGCTACTCGTAAAGTTTTTCTTTTGTTTTTTGTTTTGTTGTTGTTGTTGTTTTCTGCCTCTCTTAGTCCTTTTCATTTCAAATTTTTTATTTCTGGTTTCTACTTCTGCATCAAAACAAAAACAACGAAAGAAGAAAAGCAAAAAAAAAAAAAAAAAAAAAAAAAAAAAA